TCCAATCTTCAAGTTTGGCCCGTGGGGATTTTACTGAGTGGTGATAATGCCCAGGTTTTCATTGTTTTTGGGGGACCAATAAACATCCTTAAAATGATTGGAGCGATGCCTGGAGTCCGGCAGCCTTTCTCCTCCGGGTGCTGCTGGTTCTGAGCGAACAGCAGGAAGAAGCTAAGGAGGATTTATACAGGTGAGCGGATAGACTGAACACGGCGGGCAGCTGAGTAGTTGATGGTTACAGTGTAAGTGCAGCTTTACGGACGAACCGCACAATAAATTTCATATCACCTCAGTCTCAACAAACGAGTCACGGAAATCATCGTTGCTGGTTGATGAGTTTCTGAGTGTGACGAACGAAGGTGCCATAAATATCCGTATTGCTCCTAACCCCTGTTCTTACTTTTGTCCCTTGGTCTACTGGTTCCCGGATTGCGTTCGGTTGTCCCCTGATCCATTTCCTCCCCTCCATCCCCATCTCACGTACGTTTGCTCGCCTGCCCCCAAGCCAACTCCAGGCGACATTTCCCATATTCTCAAACTCAAAGCTTTACAGGTGTGGGGCAAGGTGAGAGTTCATCCATTAAACTCACTGAAGATAAATACATAAACTAAAAGCTGGAGTATAGACATTTTTATATGCATATTTGTAAACCTGGCTCTTTACTATTAAATTGAATATAATATCAGATTTTTGTATAACTTTTCTTCAGGTTAACTTAGAAAGTGAGCTGTTATTGTTATAGGTTAGTTTTCTAAACTACAGAAAAGGAACTGTTAGGTATGCTCAAATATGAAAAATTGGACTGATATTGATATCTGATAGTAACAGTGGTGTTATGGAAGATTTACCAATATTTTATTTTATAATTTTTTTTATCCGATTAATCATAAGAAATCGATAGATTACTCGATTACTAAAATATTTGTTTACAACAGCCCTAATATATATATAATACTATAAATGAGCGCAGATAAAATTTGAGTCAATTAGCAAAAACTTGGGTGTTGTAAAGCCTGGTGGCAACAGGCAGAAATGACTTTCTGTGTCACTCTGTGATGCACACTTTGGCAAAATGAGTCTCTGGCTGAAGGTGCTCCTGTATCTGGCCAGCACGTCATGGAGTGGATGACACTCGTTGTCCAAGATGGCCTGCATTTTGGACAGGATCCTTCCTTCTGACGCCACTGTTGGAGAGTCCAGCTTCACTCCAACAATGTCACTGGCCTTCCGGATCATTTTGTTCAGTCTGTTGGTGTCCTCCGCCTTCAGCCTGCTGCCCCCACCCCAGCACACCACAGCATACAGGATGGTACTGGCAACCACAGAGTCATAAAACATCCTAAGCAAGGTCCGGCAAATGTTGAATGATCTCAGCCGCCTCAGAAAGTAGAGGCGACTTTGGCCCTTCCTGTAGACAGCATCAGTGTTCTTGACCCAGTTCAGTTTTTTATCAATGTGGAGTCCCAGATATTTATAGTTCTCCACAATGTCCACACTGACCCCCTGGATGGTAACAGGGGTCACCGATGGACAGCAGCAGTGGGAGTGTGAGCAGGAGGTGCAGGGGACACAGTGTCAAATGTGTTGAAAAACAGGTCGAGTTCATTGGCTCCATCAACGTTGCCCTCAACTGCTCCATAGCTTGCTGATCTGAACCCGGTGATAGTCCTCATCCCTCTCCAGACCTCTCTTGTGTTTTTCTGCTGGAGTTTTCTCTCCAGCTTCCTCTTATAATCTTCCTTAGCTCTTCTGATCTTCACCTTCAAGCACCTCTGAATTACTCTCACATAATCCCTGTTGCCATTTCTGAAAGCCCTCTTATTATTCAGGATGGTCTTGATCTCATTTGTTATCCAGGGCTTATTTGGGTAACAGTAAACAGTCTCAGTCGGGATGATGGAGTCAAGACAGAAGTGTCCTGTAGTGTCTCAGTGGCCTCCTTTGACCACCTCCTCACTGTCGGTTGCAGGTTGTCTCTTCACCAGAGGTATGTAACATGGGCTGAGATGCACCATGTTATGATTGAACCGCCCGAGTGTAGGGAGGGGAGAGGAACTGTATGCATCCTTTGCGTTAGCATACAAAAAGTCCAGAGTTCTCTCCTCTCTGGTGGGACAGCTCACATACTGGGTTTAGTTGGGCAGGCTTTTGTCCATGGTGACATCATTAAAATCACCCGAGACAACCATGAATGTAGTTGGATGCTCAGTCTGCAAGTGAGCTACAGTGGAGTGGATGACGTCACAGGCCACCATGGGGTTAGCAGAGGAAGAATGTAAACAGTCACCACAACAACATGAGAATATTCACAGGGCAGGTAAAACGGACGAAGACCAACCGCCAACAGTTCAACGTCCGGCCAGCAGATTCTCTCCTTCACCATTATATGAGCAGGATTGCACCAACGGTTGTTTACTAGAATGGCAAGCCCGCCTCCTTTCCGCTTACTGCTCTCGGTGCAATCCCTACCAGCACGAACAGTCCGGTATCCCTCGATGGTAACATTGGCATCAGGAATGTCCAGGTGCAGCTACGTCTCCGTAAAACACATTAAACTACATTCCCGGTATTCCTTCTGGCTCCTGGACAGCGATGTTAATTCATCAGTCTTGTTCTTCCTTTTTGCTCTCCTCCGCTGTTCGTTTCCTCCTCTGTAACCCCGATGTGTCCTTCTCCAGACCTCCTCTGGGATTTCAGTGGACCTGGACTCCATGCCAGCCGGTTTCAGTGCAGTCAGCTGATCCCTGGTTTAAGCAATGTAATGCGGCCAAGTTGTTGCGCTAGGCAGAGTATAAAAAGTATCTCAACAACGAAGAAAAAAAATGACTTTCTCAGTCAACATTGTTGAAGATACTTTTTTGGTACAGTAAAATAATTAAAGTGGTAAAATTAAATAATCCAAAACATATTTAAAATATTTAAAAAGTAAAACAATGAGAGGAAATACCGCAACAGGCTGTATGCCTTCAGCTGTATGCAATAATATTCTTTATTTAACCAGGTGTGTCCTATTGAGATCAAAAGGTCTTTTACAAAGACTTGGCCGAGAAACGTAGCATGCAGTTGAAAAAAAAAAAAAAAAAAAAACTTGATTACAACACATAATTACATGTAACAGAGACATACAACAAAATGTATACAAAGACACTCGAATAACAATTGTACTTTTGCAACTGGAATATGTTGGGATCTATCATGGTCTTAAATTCATCCAGAGAGCCCAGTGTTTTAAGCTCAACCTGTGATTTAAAATGTTCCAAGAGGTTGGAGCCGAAAATCTAAACACTTTCTTCTCCTTTTCTGTTCTGATCCAACAAATACTATAATTTAATGTCTTGAGTGTGAAAGCTGTAGAACCTACTGTTTAAAGTTAAAAAGATGATAGTTAAGGTGCTGTCAACTGCACAATAGCCTTATAAAACAAGACACCAAAAGAAAATTGGTTACTATAAATCCATGACTTTTTGCCCAACATTTTATTGCATTATATTTCCACATTGTTTAAATCAAACAAAAAAAAAAAGGTAAGTGGTAGATTCTGAGCAGATCACCAAAGGTAAAGTAACAAACATGTGTGGAAGAGAATGTTATATATGCACTTCTGCGCAACCCAGCAGAAGAATATCAGCAGCGTATTTGTGAAACATATTTCTTTTTATTTTCTGTGTCCCTATGGTCCTGTTTGTGTGTAATTCCGTCAACAGAAGTGAGAGCATCCTCACCACTTTGCTGCTTGATCATTTCCCCTTCTAAAAACATTTGTTGACAATGCTTCCCATAGAGTTCATTGTGGTCCATTACTCTACCTGCAGAGAGAAGTGTGGGAGGTAGATTGTTGTTATTTGGACACTATCCACTCCCACTCCAAAACCCCAATTCCACCCTCCCAAACAGCATCCTGCAGGCTTTCTAAAATGGTCCTGGAAGCCTCTGCGGTGGGTATATTGAACAGTACAGAGGGTGAACAATGGGAGGGATGTGTAGAGGAAGGTGTGTGAATGTGTTGTTGTTTATGGAGGCTGGGTGGTTTGAGGGTATGTTATTGTGAAACAGAAGGAAAGCTGTGGCGCAGTCACAGTTCCAGGCAGGACCCAGGATAACAGCGAATGCAATGGAGTGTTAAATGGGAAATCATCTGTTTTCAGCCACAGATTTAATGTCATTGCTTTTTTTCCACTCTGCTATGCTCTGTTATTCCATTCAAGGCTTTTTCCCTCTCCTGAGTGTTTTTCATTCCTGTATTTTGTGCTTGTCCAAATTTCCTCTTTACCCCTGCCCACCTAAAGTCCAACACCTTGCTGGTTTTGTGATTTAAAGAAATCAGCATATTTCTTTACTTAGACAAACCATTATGCAGTTTTGTCTTCTACCTGATCATCACTATGTGCAGGGCTTGGACTCATCTTCTTTGTGTTGTATAAGCCAGTTTCATCTGGGCTTGCAATGATGGTACATTTGCAATGGCTATCTCTTTCTGTGAAATGTTCAAAGCATCTCACAGCAGGATATTTCCATTAGCGCCTTAATAAGATGACCCAGAGTGCATACAAAATTAAAAAACACCTAACCATCACTTTCAGAATATCCACTTCCACCACCATGCAGTGCCTTCATCTCCCAGTCCAGATTAGTTTATCCATTTATACCCTCAGTTAATGGCTTAACTCATGAAGAAAGTCATCAAGCATTATGGGTTTAAAGGGAGGAGAGTTGATTGAAGAAAACATTACAATTTGTGATTGTTTTGTTGTTTTTTAACACAGCACTGAATTAGTGAGATGGTCATTAAGTCGCACTTGTCCTCCTACACAAAGGGCTTGAATGAGTTTGTATTCAGCACAATTTGGCAGAGCCATTTATCCTCTGTGATAAGCCTAACATATGTCCATACCCATAAACCACCTCATTTGGTTTATAGGAAATGGAGAACTAATTTATCGTCATTGTAGACCAAGGACAGGCTGATATAAGATTCTTATAGTGGCTCTGAGTTACTATAAATGGATTTAAGTTTGAGGAAAAAAAAGATCATACACAATTTGCAACATGAATCAACAAAATTAAGTAAAAACTAGAGATGTGCCGATCAGCGAAAGTTTTAATACGTATGTAAAATTTATTTTTT